CAACCCAAAAAATCAATGGAATAAAACTGAGCATCTAAAAATAAACCTATAGAACTGGCCAGTGTGGCTCAATTGCTTTGGCATCCTCCTGAAAAGCAAGAGGTCACAGGTTGGATTCCCATGGCACGTGTGCAAAAGGCAATGGATCAATGTCTCTCTCACATTGGTATTTCTCTCCTTCTTTCCCCCTCCCTCCCAACTCTCTAAAAATAAATTTCAAATTTCAAATAAATAAATAACAAAATTAAAAATAAACCTATATGCCTATGACAAATTTACTTTCAACAAGGGAGCAAGATCATTCAATGGGAAAGAAGAGTCTTACCAACAAATGGTTTTGGAACAAATACCACATGTAAAAAAGTATGAATTTGGAGTGCTATTTCATATCATATACAAAAATCAACTCAAGTCCTGGTTGGAGTGGCTCAGTTGGTTAGAGCATTGTTGCATACACCAAAAGCCTGGGGGTTCAATTCCCCACCAGAGCATGGACCTAAGTTGCAGGTTAGATCCCCAGTCAAAGCACATATGGGAGGCTACCAGTTGATGTTTCTCACTCACATCAGTGTTTCTTTTTCTTTCTCTTTCTCTCTCCCCACCCCGTAAAAATCAATAAACATAGCCCTGGCTGGTGTAGCTCAGTGGATTGAGCACGGGCCTGCGAACCAGACATTTGCAGTTCAATTCCCAGTCAGGGAACATGCCTAGGTTGCAGGCCGGTTCCCTGTAGGCCAGTTCCCAGCAGGGGATGCATGAAAGGCAACCATACATTGATATTTCTCTCCTTCTCTCCTTCCCTTCCCCTCTGAAGATAAATAAGTAAAATCTTAAAAAAAAATTAAAATTTTTGTATGTCAAATGACATTATCATAAAAAGTGAAAAGATAATCCACATGAGAGAAAAATGTTTGCAAATGACGCATCTAACAAGGGTCAAGTATCTAGAACATAAAAAGAACTCTTACAACTGAACAATTTAAAAAAACTGAATTATCTGAATTTTGTAAATGGAGAAAGAACTCGTATAGATATTTCTCCAATGTAAAATGGCCAATAAGCACATGTAAAGATATTCAACATCATTAGTCATTAGGAAAATACAAATCAAAACCACAATAATATACCACTTCACATTCACTATGATAACTATAATCAAAAAAACAATTGACATTATGTTAGATGAAATCAGCCAGTCACAAATATCATCTGATTCCACTGAATGAGGTACCTAGAGCAATCAAATTCATAGAGACAGAAAGTAGAATGGTATTTGCCAGGGGCTGGCAGGAGGCAGGGAATGGAGAATTGTTTAATGGGTATAGAGTTGCAGTTTTGCAAAATGAAAAGAGTCCTGGAGATTGGTCTCACAACAATGTAAATGTACTCAACACTACTGAACTGCACACTTAAAAATGGTTGCCCTGGCTGGGTGGCTCAGTAGACTGGAGCACTGTCCCAAACACCAAAATGTTGCAGGTTCAATTCCCAATCAGAGTACATACCTAGGTTGCATACCTAGGTTCCGGTTCTATCCCCCATCGGCATAAGTACAAGAGCCTTCCAATCAACGCTTCTCTCTCACGTCCATGTTTCTTTCTCTTCTCTCTCTCTCTCCCCTTCCCCCTCCCCCTCCCTTTAAAGATCAGTGAGAATATCCTTGGGTGAGGATTTTTTTTTTTAAATGGTTAAGATGAAGGCCTTGGACAGGTAGGTCAGTTGGTTAGAGCATCATCTATATACACCAAGGTTGTGGTTACACCCCTAACCAGGTCATTAAAAAAGAAAAAACAAGAATCAACAAATGAATGCATAAATAAATGGAACAAATTGATGTTTTTCTCTTTCTTCCTTCCCCTCTCTCTCTAAAAATCAAAATATAGCCCTGGCCAGTGTGGCTCAGTGGATTGAGTGCTGGCCTGCAAACCAAAGGGCTGCTGGTTCAATTCCCAATTCAGACACATGCCTGGGTTGCAGGCCAGGTCCCTGGTTGGGGGTGCACAACGGGAAACCTCACATTGCTGTCTCTGTCTCTCTCTCTCTACCCCCTTCCTCTCTCTCTAGCAATAAATAAATAACCTTTTAAAAATTAAAAATAAAATAAAAATCAATAAAAAATTAATGGTTAAGATGGTACATTTTACATTGTTTATTTACAATGTAAATTATTTACAATTAAAGGTTTTTTGATTTTTTTAAAAAAGACCAACAATAACAAGTATGAGTAAGGGTATGGAAAAAGTGGACTCCTCATACATTACTAGTTGGCATGTAAAAATGACACAGATAGTTCGGAAAAGTTTGACAGTTCCTCCAAAAGTTAAAGAGTTACCATATGACCCAAAAAAATAATCATTCCTAAGTATATATCCAAAAGAATGAAAAACACATGTTCACCTAAAATCTCATAAGTGCTCACATAAGCATTATTCATAATAGTGTAAAAGTGAAAACAACCCAAAAGTCCATCAACTGATAAACAAAATATGACATATCATACACTAAAATATTTGAATAAGTACCAATACATGCTATAACATGAATGAACTGTGAAAAGATTATGCTAAATGAAAGAAGCTAGACACAAAAAGCTATGTATGATTCCATTTATATGACATGTCCGGAATAGGCAAATCTAGACACAGAAAGCAGATTAGTGGTTTCCAGGGCTGGGGTAGGGAGGAGGTGGGGTGGGTAAGGACTACTAATGAGTATGGGGTTTCTTTTTGGAGAGAAGACAATGTTCTGAAACTGGATAATGGCAATAGTTGCAGAATCTTGCAGGTACACTAAAAACCATTGAATTGACTATTTTTAAACAGTAAATTTTACTTATGTGAATTATATCTCAATTTAAAAACATATGTTTAATGACAGAAAACAGGTATCTGCATGGTCTCGAAGTTATCTTCAAAATATTTAGTAATTACAAAGAAAAAAATAGTAAGTTTACATTGGAGAATCCTGGCAGCCCCCACCTTAGCCAAGTGATCAAGGTCAACATCACCAGTAAAATATATCAAATCATGTACACCCTGACAGATGCACCAAGGAGGACACACTAATTTCTGTGATATCCTTCCCAAAACTGCAAAGCTTTAATCAAATCATGAGAACATAGAAGACAAACCCAAACTGAGGGACATATGAAATGACTATCCAGTAATCCTCAAAAGTGTCAGTCATGAGACTAAAGAAGGCTGTCAAAGATATGAAGAGACTATAGGGACATGACAACTAAATGCACTGTGTGATCCTGGACTGGATACTGGAACAGAAAAAGAACTTTAGTGGAAAATAGGTGATATCATTATAAATTCTGTATTTAATAGTATTATAAACAGCTAATTTCTTAGTTTGATTAATATTCTATGATTATGTACAATATTAACATAAGAGGAAGTTGGGTGAAACATATATGGAAATTCTCTATAATATTTCTGCAAGTCTGTAAGTCTAAAATTTGCTGAAATTTTTTCAAAAAATTAACTGTTAAGAAATAATTTTATTCAATAGAAGAGCTGAGAGAGAAAATTTAGCAAATATCCCATAAAAAAGATTAAGATTCTAGACTTTAAGGCCAACGCTTGTCTGTGATATAGCAAATGGTAAGATTAATAAGCTAATACACTAAACACTATTCCTAAAAATAAAGTAATAAATAGATCAACACTGTTCCTAAAGCATGGTACCACAAAGGCTTAGTTATCTCACTCCAAAAAGATAATTAATAAAAGGAAAGAGAAGAAAATGAAATGTTCTGTAAAAGATGTGAGATCTTTCAGTTTGTCCTAAGAAATAGTATGCTGAGCATGTAGGACCCTAGCTTGATTCTCTCTAGTACTCACTGCCTCATGTTCTAATCTGTGACTCTATTTCTTTACATCAAACTAAAATCTGCTTCATATGAGCCTTATATACTCAGAATCTTACAGTGTAAGGGGTCAAAGATATAATCTAATTCAGTGGTTCTCAAAGTGCAGTCCAGGACCAACAGCATCAGTATCTCTAGGAAATTATGTTAGGCATGTAAATTCTATACCCGCTCCCAAATTTCTGAATCAGAAACTGGTGGTGGAGCCCTGCAATAGAGTTTTAACAAGCCCTCCAGGTAATTCTAATACAGGCTAAAATTTGAGAACCATGGGTTTTATGCAATCCCCTCAATGTAGAGGTGATTTGCTTAAAAGCACAAAGTTTCTTATAAGTGGCCATGCCTAAAACTTGGGCTTCCAACCCCCTCCCTCCCACTCCAGTGTACTTAGGATTTATGCCACACTGTCCCCCTAGTTCTTACCTCTGAAACAATAAAGCATAAATTGAATTCCTACTTCATAACAACACCTCAGTTATCCTATCTCCCTTTTCCTACCATCATTTTCTGTTCTGGTTCCATCAACTTTTTGTCAGTGGTGCAGTTTTATCGTGCATAAAATTTGTCACTTTAAATGAAGTACATCACTCTTGGTAGGCAACAGAAGCCAAAAGAATTAGATGCCTAATTTTTTTAACTATTCAAACTATTGTTTTAAGTAGAGCTAATAGATTTTCTCAAGTACCTCATCATTTGTCTTTTTGTGTTTGATAGAAATATTATCCAGCACATCAATGCAACAAATTGTGATTTTCATACCATGACATCAAGGATCACTCAAACGTCCTATGTTCCACAGGTCAACTTCTACTGTATACTGTACATAAACACTTAAAGGTGAAAGAGATGCCATGAAGTGTGAGTAAACTCAAAACTAAGTGCAATAAACTGAAAAGGGGATGCAGAGTGAAGATTAAGTCAATCCTGTCCTTGGCAAATCAAAAGCAAGAGCAAAATTAACCCAAGAAACTTCTGTTAAACATTTAAAAAAGAAAATTTCAACTAAACACAAATTAGGTAAAATAATTTGTTTGAGCTAGAGAAGCCCTTGATAAACTTAGCTTATCAGAACTTCAATTTTTAAAAAAACAAGAACAATTTGGATAAGCAGTAATTAAACCCTTACCAGGCCTAATGTGGTGTCTTCTTCACTGTCTCCATCAGGACTGCTTTCCATATCAACACCGAGGATCACTGTATCCAAAGCACTCACGTGTTCTCCTTCGCTATTTTCCACACGAACACCTAAGCGTGATTTTTGCAGAGTGGATTCTGCCTTAGAAGATGCGGTGGCTTTCGTCTTTGGAATTAAAATCGTTGTGAAAGTTTTCTTTATTTCAATTTTCTTATATTTCTTACACGCCAATTCATCGTTAGAGTTCTTATTTAATAGGGATTTGGGGAGCTTAAATTCGCCCGGCTTGTAATCACTGAGTGAAAACGGAACAAGACACACCTTAGGTGTTTTTTCTAAAACTGTAGCCTGTAACGGTCTCAGAGATACATCAGAGATCTTCTGGTTTTCTTTATATTCATTCGCCTATTCAGACCAATAAAAGAAAAGATTAGAATCCCAGGTCCCATTCCTTTTCTTACCGAGCTGTCTAAGTAAATAAATCTAATTCCTACTGCATATAGCATAATGACACTATAAATCCAAACTGACAGTCTATAAGGAAGCTTTTTCCACCCAAAATCTAGATACCAAATTCATTAATCCAAATACAATTATTTGCTATACGAGACACATTTCTTGCTCTATGAGTCTACCAGATCAATCATAATAATGACTATAATCTGTAACTGAGGAGTCTACCATGCCAGCTTCCGCGTAACTGTAATTGTTCCCAGAATGGAAAGCTGACAATAACTGCTGCAAAAGCAAGTGTAGAGTCCTGATCCCACCCTGCGACTGTATCGTGGGCTGAAAAGAACCTTTCTCCACGCTGTACGTCTAGATTCCACAGAGGACAACCAGAGCAGGGAGACGGCTTCTCCTTTGAAGCACGCCCGGAAAAGCCAGTTAGCCGGCGAGATGCCCCAGGGGAGAAAAATACGGCAGTTTTAGAGTAGGGAAGTGCGGGGCGCCAGGTCCTGGTGCCGGACAGACCTCTCACGAAGACTGCGGTGGGAGCACACCCGAAAATGACAAGCCGCCTCTCACCTTCTCTTGGAGTAGCTCTCTGGAGCCAGCCTTCTCCTCAGCCGCCGCGTACAACCCGGACATCTTTCTACCGCGTAGCAGCTGGTGCCTTCCCGCCAATATTGGGCAGGAGGCGGGGCCTCGGAAGGAGGAGGCGGGCGGCTCGGGCGCGCTCAGATCCCAGCTGACTGCCGGGAGGGGAGGGGCGCGGGCGGACTACTGCCTTCTCCTAAAGAAGCTAGCTTACCAGTCTCACCCCAAACTCAAATTCCTTAAGTCTGTAATGGGACGGTACGGACATGGTTTGTTTTGGGTTTTTTTTTTTTACCCTGTATCCTGATGCTTTGATGCTGCCGGTGCCAGGATCTCGCTTTGAAAAACACGAGCGCTTTTGCTAACAAACTATATGCCTTGCAATGTGAGCCCAGAAAAGATTAAGACTCACTCAGATGCCCTAAAGCAGCGGTCCCCAAACTTTTTGGCTCCACGGACCGGTTTCGTGGAGGACAGGGCGGCGGAGGAGGGAGCGGGGAGAAGACGGGACGTAGAGCTCTGCTGAGCTGCGCTCGCTCACCCGCGCGGTGCACGGGGTGGGAGACAGGAGGCGCAGCTACTGCGAGCTTTGCTTGCTGCCCAATTCCTAACAGACTGTGGCTCAGAGGTTGGGGACCCCTAAGGTAAAGAATAGAAAGGAAAGGAAGTCAAAATCAACTTGGCAGCATTTACCTCGGGCTCCCTGGTTCCATATAACCCCACCACCAGAATATTATGCTCTATGGCTACCATATTATCTTCTAGAAAGGGAAGCATTTTGATGTTTTTTCAAAAGCTAATAACGTTTAGCTTGGTTTAAATTTCGCCTGATCATCTGCCCCCTGTTAACTAAGATACTAATGATGACCTTACAAAGCCCAAAGGCTGGGGGGGAACTGTGAGTCAAATAACTTGTGTATCACAAAGTAACGAACGTCAGACTTTAGTACACTGCATTTCTTACAGATCCAGCCATGTTATTTTTTTTTTTCTTCAGCTAGAAATAATCGGGGCTCGGATAAACCTCACTGGCTGTAATACTGTCACTGCGCAAAAGCTAGACACAGCCATATTAAACTTTTGTTTTTCTGTTCTCTGGGTTGCGTGAGCCAAAACAATTGCCTTCCCCCAAAAAATCCCTCTACAATATAGTTTTGGAGCTGACAAAGATTTTATAGTATAAAATTAAGGTCCTCTCTATTTAGCCAAAACCGCTCCCTTGGTTACTTACTTGGGTCCTCCACTGTTCCTCACTGGAGACTTGCCCAATTTTATCTCTTCTCCCAACCTAGGGCCAGGAAAAAAAACACAGGTGAAATAATTTGAGAACTAATCCTATTAACAACACCTTGCAAGACCCTCGAGGACCTGGTACCTACCAAACTTTCACTACTCATTGACTCAGAAATCACTGGTAAAATCAAACTTTTCATAGTGTCTGATATATCATACAATGCTATTTCTGTACTTCAAGACTTTGCTCATGCGTCTAGTCTCTCTCTCCACCACAGCGGTTATAAAATCCATTCTATAGTAAAATGTGTTCCGATTAACCAATGTTTTTTACACAACCCAGGTAGTGAATTGCAATTGCTTCTGTTATTCTATATGTCCTTGAAGACTTTCTGAATAAAATTCAAGTTTTTTCATCTTTCATATTTATATACTTTATTTTATTTTAAAATTCAAGCTTCTTGAGAACATGAGGCATTTAACAATATTCCATACTCCTTACAGAGAGCTAAGCATGGTAAATACAGCAAGTACTTAATACCTACGGACTTATATACAAACTCTTTCCGGCCAGTTATGTTTTTTTTAATATGCAGTCTCCGAAAACTTTAACTGGAAACCCTAAAAGAGAGTGTTCAGATTTCAGGCATTGTCCCTAGCCCCTTTTTGGAGTGTGTGTGTGTGTGTGTGTGTGTGTGTGTGTGTGTGTGTGTGTGTGACTGGCGTAAATCACCACCACCTGCCACCGTGTCACCAAAATAGACCGCACCACAACCTACTTAGCTTTATCAGCTGGGCTAATCAGGATGCTATTAGCAAGATTTCTATCCCAATTAAACTCTAATTCTGAACTTTGAACAGTCTGGGCAAATTGTCCTTCACTATCCCCAGAATTTCTTATTCCTCACTATCCTATTTTCCTTGGCTTCAAACCAATCTAACAAACAAAACCTTTAATTCTGACCTTCCTCGCTGCAAGGGTCTTAGGAGCAAAAAGCCCAACACAAGTAATTTCCCGCCAGCAGTGCGTCCAAATTCTAGACTGAGAACTATGGGGCGGACTGTGTACATGCGCAGTAACACAATGACGTTCTAAGTTTGGAGCCCAGAGGTCCTCCACAATCCCATAATCCTCTGGTCGCAATTTCCGGTTTTTCTAGCTCAGTCGTGAATGTTGTTTCCACCAGTCGCTCTTCAACGTCCTGTGCCGCTGCGTGGAGAGGGATTTTTCTTCTGTTCTTTGACATTTAGTGTTTGGAATCAGTGAAGTTTCGGGAGTACCACGACAGCCATGAACATGTCGGCCCCAAGCGCACTCATGAAACAACCGCCCATTCAGTCCACGGCTGGAGCCGTCCCTGTTCGCAATGAGAAAGGTACTGTGCTGAGCCGTTTTCCAATGGGATCTTCCTCTTTCTTCCCCAGCATACTCCAGACCTATCCCTGGCTGACCACCCCAATAGGCAGATCCTTAAGACCTTCCTGCCTATTTCTTCTGCTTTCTCCCACACTATCGCGTTACCAAGGCTGGGGGAGGGGAGGGGGGAACACTTCTAGCTCCTTGTTCCTTAAATTCTGCCTGTCCTCACCTCCAATCACTCTTTTTGGCATCCACCAGTTCGTTAGACTAATACAAATAGAATGCCTGCTGCTTGCGGGGCGTTTTGCGGGATATACTCCCTCTTTTGTTATCCATACACTATTTATGTTGCTTCTATAATTCTTATCATTATAAGTATTTGTGTGTCTGTTTCCCTCTACTATATAATAAGCTCATAGCTTCCTTGAGGCAGGGACCATGTCCTATTAAACTTTTTAAACTTTAAACCAACGCAGTGACTATTTACTGAAGTGAATACAAAGTTGTGTAAGATAGTGCCCCTAACCTTAAGGAATTCATATTCTAAAAGATTTGGGACATTCAAAAAGAGGTCTTTTATACCTGTAATACCTGTCACATAGGTGAAACCAGGCTCTGTGAGAGCAGAGAAGGAATAATTTCTTCGAATTGAGTTAATCAAAGAAAGCTTTTTGAAGAAGGTGGCATTTAAGTTGACCCTTAAAGAATGGTATGATTCCAGTGAGTGCAGATGGAAGAAGGAACACAGTATGTGTTTGTAGTATTCAGAATAAAGAGTCAAAGAGTTATTTCAGTAAAGATTTTGGAAAATATCAGGGGTTTTTTGTTTGTTTGTTTTTTAAATATACTGTACCTATCCTTGGGCAACTTGTCTTTTTTAAAAATTAAACATGCAAAGTATCCTTTGGATACATACAGATGTAATTTGTTCACTTGTGAATTCCATTGTATAATTAAACCACAATTTATTTCCCACTGCAGGATAGTTGTGTTATTTTCTTTCTCCTATTACAAACAGTGCTGCAACTGTCACTCTTAAAGGTATTTTTTTAGTGCATCTGGGTAATAATTTCTCTAGGGTAGATTCTTAGAAGTTCATCATCAGCTTAACCACCTATTGCCTGTTGTTCTCCACAGTAAGAGCATGAAGAGTTTTTATTTACCCATATATTTATCTACACAATTGATTTCATGATTTTTTGAGATTTTTTAATTTTTGCTCAATCTAATGGGTGTGAAATATCTCATTAATTTGCATTTCCTTTATTACTACTAAGTTTAGACATCTTGTACAGATATTTTTCAGCTCTCTAGGTGTTCTCTTTAGTGAATTACCTGTTTTCGTCATTTAACCATTTTCTGTTTGGTTTTTATACTTCCCAAATCTATAATATTTTCCTGTTTGTTTGGGGATTTTGGGCTTGTCTTTTAACTTTAATTATGTAGTCTTCTGTTACACAGGTATTTTTTAATTTTAGTGTTATCAGATATATCAATTTTATCTTTTATGGTTTGTGTTGTTTAGTATATTAAGAAATTCTTTCCTACATTGAGATCATAGATATTCACATTACAAAGATTTTCTATCATCTTAGTGTTTGTATAATATTAAATAGATTTGGATACACAGTTGTGCAATACAGACTCTAAGTTAAGGAGCTTACAGTCCTGTAGGGATATATTTGTTTAAGATGTTTTTCACATTTGGAACTTTAATCCATCCAGAATATTTTGAGTGTGGGTGTCAGAGATCTAATTTTACTGTTTACCTTACAGTTAGCCATTTGTCCCTACTACTCTATTGTTTGACTAGCCCACCCATTCTCCACTGCCTTTTAATGTCACTCTGTAATATACCAAGTTCTCATATAGGTTTGTTTCTCTGCTCTCTGCTCTGTTCCATTGGTCTTTATGTACCTCTTGAGTCAATGATACATTGTTTTAATTACTATAAATTTAAATGAGCCTTGCAATCTGTATAAAAACACTTCCCACTCCCTAGCCCTGGCAGATGTGACTAGCTTGAAGGCATTGTCCTGTGACCAAGAGGTTGCAGGTTTGATTCCCCATCAGGGCACATATAAACCTAGGTTGTGCGTTTGAACCCTGGTCCAGCCACATACAGGAGGCAACCAATTAATTCTTCACTCTCTTGCATTGATGTTTCTGTCCCTTACTCTCTCTCTCTAAAAGCAATGAAAAAATTGTCAAGTGAGGATTAAAAAACAAAAAACCCTTTCCACCCCACCTTACTTTATTCTTCTGGTTTTATTTCTTTATTTTTTAGAGCAATTTTAGGTTTACAGCAAAATTGGGGGGAAGATACAGAGATTTCCCATATCTACCCCTATACATGCATATATTACCCCTACCAGGATAATATATTACAGCTGATGAGCCTACAGTCATACATCATAATTACCCAGAGTCTGTTTACATTACCCAGAGTCTTTGTTAGTTTACATTAATATTCACTCATGGTGTTAGGAAAATGTATCCATCACTATGGTTTCATGCACATTATTTTCACTGACCAAAAAATCTGTGTTCTGCCTATCCATCCTCCCCACACACCCAAACCCTGGCAAACACTGATCTTTTTACTGTCTTTATAATTTTACCTTTTCCAGAATGTATTTGGAATCATAAGATATATAACCTTTGGATATTCACTTTTTTCACTTAGT